ACAATCTAAAACTTAAACCAGAAACTTTCTTGATAATACGTTAGTTTACAAAAAAAAAAAAAATATTGAAAATAGTATAAATAAAATTCTTTAAAATAGATAATATTATGCAAATTGATGCTAATTTTTTTTTAAATGAATAAATTTTGACAAATGATAATTAAAACGTCAATAAGAATTACATATATGGACAATTGGTACAATGCGTGTAAAAAAGATTTATATTACACTAATACAAGATCGTATAAAATATGTATAGGAATGTTAAAAAATAACAGTTAATAATTCAAATATAATACAATTAACTTGTTAACATCAATACTACTGGTTTAAATATAATATATATATATATATATTTATATTTATATATATATATATATATATGCTGATGCAAAGGTTCTTTAAATTTTGAATAAATAAATAATATTAATAGGTATAATACAATTTAGCAACAAAACCGTGTGGACGTCAAAGTATAACTAACAAAAATATAAAACTTAAGCCTGAATATTCATATAGTAACAAATATAAAATAACATTATAAAAATCAGGTATTTATTAGGTAAACAATCTATTACTTCGAAAACTTTGTTTTAATTATTTAGATACAAAGGTTTTTTTTTTTAATTCTCATGATTCAGTAAACAATAGTTATAAGTTTTAAACATTTTAAACTAAATAGAATATAGTATAAGTCTTAAGCTATAACATACAAACATAATTTTTAAATAAGATTGGGAAAGGATTTTATAAATTTATACCTATAGCTGGTAAGCTGAATAGTCTGAAAAATAAAATTACTACAAATAAAGTATGGTTAAATGGCTGGTTAATGGCTGTATTGTTAAAGCCACAATGTACAAAGTAATTAAAATGTTATATTAAGATAGGCACACTCCTAGTTTTGATATGGCTTAACTATGACTTCTATAATGATTATAATTATGATATAATTTATTGTTTTAGATAAAAAAAATATACAGGTATTATATTTGACTTATGAAAGTTACTCTCTTTTAAAATAATATTTTTAACTTGAATCGTTTAAATTATGTTTGATAAATTTTGTATGATAATAATTTTATACATAAAAATAAAGACTCCTTAATTTAGATTAAAAAACCAAACATAATATTACATAATTTGAAATAATCATATTAATTTAAATAAACGAATTAATAAATTGATTAATTTAAACAGGTTAATTCAATTAAATTACACTTTTATAATAATATTAAACAACATTAAATAATAATATTACATCAATATTTTTCAACATGGATATACTATAAATTACTAAACTTTAGGGTTCTGGTAAATATACATAATATACAATACACATATTATGAGAGTTTAGAACAGGATAGTTTTAAACATGTATTCTATTGTACAATAATAATACAAATTATACAATATCATATAATTAATGTCATCATTATATATAAAATTTTAACGTAAAATCGGTTATGGATTGATGCCATACTTTAAGTTTAAAATGTTGTGAAACTTAATGTGTGTCGACTATATCTGTGATGTTATTTAGCCTTTCTTCATTACTTATGAAGCCTGAACATCGCCAAACCTCGCCGTTTAGGATAGCTATAAAAATATACATATACATATAAGTTTGAAAAATGTATACAACTATAAAATCTTGAAATTGAAGTTATTTTACTCCAACTATAATACTTTGGTATATTGGCTCGTAATAGTTGTGTTTCTAATATTTAAATGACTATTGTAATGCTAATTGAAATCCTTCCCAGTAAGTATACCATAATTTTTACATCATTATAAATGGTGATAAAGATTAGTTACAGCATTAGGTTTAGGATTTATTTGGATTCTTTCTCATATAATTATATCTGAGTTTTGACTTATATTCCTGAATTTCTGATAGCATTTTGAACATGTCAATTGGTTGCATTTATTTCATTTTATTATATCATTTTTTAGATACTTTCTGTCAAAATGTGACATTAGTATGGTCTTTGGTAACTATACAATATATGCGTTACAGCAAATACAATTTTTACTTTTATATGTTTTAACTATTAAGAGTGACTATTAAATTTAAATTTATTTTCAATTGATAATTAACTTCGGTTTAAAAGAAAGCGTATATTTTATACACATAATCATTGACAGTTGATATTATATGGTTTAAGAGCCTTTTAAAACACATTTACCTTTATGGGTTGTTTTAAAATATATAACATTATGTAATAATAATATTACTACCATCAACACGTTTTTAAACATTTTAGAATACTAATACTTATCTCTTTTTAGTTTTAGGCTAAGCTAATTTACCTTCATCCCAAAACCTTCACTGGATCATATGGAACTGGAGTTGTCTATCAACCGTTTCGTCGTTAGTATTTTATTTGTTTTCATGTGTATTCCTATTTTAGCCATGTATACACTTACCTTAATACCATACTCTGAGTTATCTATATGGATATTTTGCTTGGTGAGTACCTATCATATAACCAGCTGGGAGGTCGGATGTTCGATTTAGATTTTAGAGTACAAAATCTATTTCAAAAAACCTACGAAAACGCGTTTTTCGCGACCTAAGTTATATTAAGTAGCTTATAAATTGTGAATCCTTAACGTGGTCAAATGGAACGAATTGAAAGAAAACGTTAATTGAATTGTAGAGGCGAAACAGAGTAGTTACATGAACTAAATTGCAGCTATCCAAAGAAAAGAAGAAGAACCACTAACCTATTTGCGAAGAACAACGACAAAGTAGTACAAAAAATAGGTCTAAAATAGAATGAATCGATTTAGAGCACTAATAATGGAGTGAAAATGTAGTGTGTAGTAATAGATGTTGTTTTAAAAAACATTTATGAATATAATGCCGCTCAGTGCGGGTACTGAATTAATACTTGAAATAACAGCCATAAAACTGTACAATTAAGACTTCCTACAGGGAGCATTGAACTTTAAATTTCAGAGTTCTATTTTTAAACGCTCAATAGTTTGGGTATTACTAATTTTTGCTTTATCGTTTTTTATTTAAGTATGTTCAATGCTCCATGTTGAAAGTCATTCTCTTTAAAAAAAAAAAAAATAATAATAATAATTTAGAGAGTAAAGCGGCGTAGAGTGAGAGTTTTTCCTGTGAAACATGTTTTCACCACCAAAATAGCTATATTTAGTTCATATTTTGTCCCTTGATAGTTGGCCACGAGCCTTATAAGCCATCCAAAAAGTTAAGTATAAATAAGCTGGTACTATCAAAGTGTAAAGCTTTGCGTCGTTTGTCTCCTGTTTGGTTCTACCTAGTTAAACTGGTTCTATAAGGGTAGTGCATATGTATGATTTCGATCAGCCGTCTAGAAGATCAACAACAGAGCGTAAAGTGCTTTGGTGTTTACTTGTAGACAGCAATTGAACATAATTGAAAACGTCCACGGCACGCTAATGTACTGCCATTTGTTTTCAATTGTTTAATATAAATAAATACAAACAGTAAGGTAATCAACTGATATATTATATATTTCTTAAGAACATATTTTTTTTTTTTATTAATTTCGTTGTTATAAATTAAAAATATATAAAAAAAACAAAAGGGTGGATGTCTGCCGAGTGGTACACTGGACGCTCTTTTCTCTCAAGTCTTCTTATCAAGTGACATATTCTTGTTATTCGAATTTACTTACTGCATTAATATAAGTATTTGTGCATGTACACATAAATACCATTGCAAACATTATTATTTCCTTGACGAAAATAAAGGCAACATAATATTTAATATTTCTATTATGCGTACGCGACACTTATATTGTTTTGACGGTTTACTAAATAATTGTTAGTGAATTGTCATTCAGTATTTTAAACGTCGATGGACTCTAGCGCGTGGTGCTCTTTCGTTGGCCCTGTAAACTACAACATCTAAAAAATACATTTGAATCTATAAAATTATAATTACCGATTTGCGCTAAAAATTAAAGACAAAAATAAGCGATTTTATGAAAAATACGATGTTAAATGCGTGCAAGCTATCATTAGCCATTGATGATACTCATACTATGTTGTTCGCAGTGCTTGACTTGGTTGTGGAATCGAGAACACCTAGTGTGTTAGTTGCATCTTATGTACTTTATGATATAATATAATATTTTTGTTGGTTTTGTATTTAATTTAAATGAATCGTTTTTGTTAAGTCATTTTTGGTAATGAAAAAATCACGTTAACCCATTAACCCGAGAATGCTTTAAATTGTCACTAATCGATCGTTATTTGTTTGAAATTATAATTGTGTAAAATATGTCTGAACTAAAAATAGATTCGCTATTACATTCACACGGCAATAACGCGTTAAAAAAATGTATTATTAATATTTCACAATTACTATTGTCACAAATTGTCAATACTGATAAAGAATGTTTTCAGAATACTTAAACACCCACACCTAAGTGTTATAAAATTGTATTATTCAGTTAAGAAATCGTTTGAGATTTGAAAGTCTATCATCTTATTTTAAAAAATATGGGTTTCGAAAACCCAGTTGTTTACGCTAATTATTATACTGTATTGTACCGAACTTGAACTTAAAAATCGCTGTATGGCCATTATTTTTACCGGATATTTTCCAAGTCAAGCACTGCATTTGTATGCATATTAATAATGAGGGACACATATTAGTGATAACTGGGGAAGTTCTTGACTTTCCCATTAAACGCGTGCCAAAATTAAAAAAAAGGGTGTGTGTGTGTGCGAATGTCTTACAGTCATTATGGTAGTGTCCTTGTCTACAACAAGCTTTGGCACGTCATGTTTACATCGTATTGACGTTATTTTTTCATTTTGAAACGATGCGCTTAATGTACCTGAATGTTCAGCTGTTAGTTTTAACATTAATATAAAAAAAAAACACAAACCTCAAATTTTGCCAACCCTATCTACACTACTACGACTGCAAGACAACGCACGTGTCCGCGAGGGTGCGTACGATATAGAGGGTTTACTCTGGTAACGACACTTACTTCTCTTGCCATCACTCCATTGTCGTGGCGGTCAGGTGTGTTAGAATGAGCCGCTCTTCCACCACGATGACATTCCCGGGAAAGGATCGTCGCGTGCCCGGGTCGCTCTCGTTGCTCATGTTGACAACGTACGGCGGTGGTCGTCAGTTCGAGAGAAACGGTCGAAATTTCATTAGGCCTATGCAATCAAAACGACCCGCGACATTGTTATGTGTGGTGGTATGCTACGAGTAGTATATATGACGTGGTTAGGTTCAATCTCAACTGGTTACGCTGTCAATAGTTAGGTAATAATATGCAAAATCCATTTTGAATGTACATTATTACCTCGGTGTATATTGTGCGCTGTGACCCGTTTGCACCTGAGCACCACACGTGCCGTGGTGGTCCCGACGACCTCGTGATCGCCGCCGTTAGGGGTGAGTGGGTGACGGGGTGGGGTCGGCAGCAGGCCACTGCCCGGCGGCAGCGACGTGCCTCAAACGAGACGACACCACATGTAGACTAGGCGGGAGGTGGAGGTGAAATAAAGGAGGACGATTGTTGAAGAAAAAATAAAGCGTGCGCGGCAGCGTCAGGAGCAGCGGCCGTTGGTGCTGGCCAGCAGGCCGACGGGTTAGCGAGTACTGCCGCGAGCCGCGAGCCGTCTCGGCAGCCGCGTGTCGCGCGCTCTTTCGACGAAGCGGTGGCCAACCGACCCGACGGGCCGGGGGTATGCGGCGGGGGCTCGGCGGGCAGAGCGCAAACTCGGCTGGCCCCGCAGTGCGTCCGAACCCGGAGCTGTTCTCCTCGTCGCGGCCGTCAAAGAAAGGATTCTGGGCCATTTCCGAGCCGCCCCCGCAAAGGTCCGTGTTACACATCAGCAACGCACGCGCTACCCTGGCGGCGCGGTGGGCGACCGTCGGTTCGGATAACGTTACCGGCCGTAAGTGTTATACTCGAAAATCGTTATTTCGATTTATACCAATTTTCGTTTTGTGTTCAACGGTGCGGTTGTGCGGTTACCACCATTTGGATTCTTATACATTAATTGTCGTTGCTATTTTTTTTTTTTTTTTTGGAAATTTTCTGACATAATTAATGCAACATAGTTTCCCCTTTCCCCCACCATACAGCAACCTACACGTTGAACGAATGAAATTGTAGAAAAGAAACGCTTTGATAAAACAGACCGTTTGATTTTTTTACAGCTACTTCTGCGGAGAAAATCTACTACAACAAACATACAGCAGTTCAGTTTTTGTTGATCACGTGGAAAAAAAATTGGAGAACTAAATAATAAATATGTATCGGAAAGGACGTTGAAAGTATAGTCATATAGTGTAATGGCAATTTTTTATTTTTACAAAATAATTATAGTAACGTTATAGTCAAGGGATATTAAGTAACATGTTGACAGTATGTTTAAATGTTCAAGAAGGATTGACATTTCTGTTTTAAGTGTAATTTTTAAGTTTTCTGTTACTTTTATTTGTATGCTAATTTTTTATAAATATTTGTAAGTTTTAAGTGTATATTATAATGATTGGTTTGATATGAACATTTAAAAAAATCTTTTGTCGTTTTTCTCCGTGGTATACGTTACTAAAAAAATTATTTTATATATTTTCATTATTATATTATATTGTATTTTCCAGAGAAACTGTTAACTATTGTTATGCTTAGTCGGCAAACTACCTAGTTTAATGAAGGAAAAATCATCAGACATGTAATAAATATTATATAAGTTTGAATATGTTTAAATGTTAAAACGTAGAGAATTAATTTATATCTCTTTTATATTAAATGGTTTGATTTAAAGGTGAATACTGATGAATACTTCATTTTTACAAAAAAAAAAACATACAATTTACTATAAAGTTTAGTGCAAGAACCGCGATTAAAACAGTTTTTATATTTGATCAGTGTGACTATTTACAATTAAATATACCTGAGAGCAGAGTTGGGCATAATTGTATTTATAAATACGAATACGAATTTATTCATATCGTGATTTTTATGTGAATATGAATACAAATGGCGAAATGGTCATAGAAAAAAAAGAGTTGATTCCGTTAAAAAGAGAACTTTATTTAGGTTTTCTCTGCAGTGACTTGACTATAGGACACTCTAAGAGTTGTTCAAAGTACCATAGGCCAACTCCTGATTCTTACACTACATCATAGCCTGTGGACTTAACCCACACTAGTAATATAACAAACCAGTAACTTCTAAATAATTATTTAATTATAATCAAAGCTGGACCAGTGGCTCTATCTGTGTGTAGAGCATCAGAAATTAGCGACTATATCCAACAATGCGTTGCTCTAGTTCTATATTCAGGATGACATCGTACAGAAGTTAAACGTTTAACTCTATAATAAAAACACGCATAAAATAATTAATCCAGAATATTTAAACGAAGTGAGTCAAATGAGTATGTGTCTCACTGTTCTTCGAGACTCATTGGATATTATACATTACCATTTATACTCTTATTTATTTTCTCCTACCTATTTATTAAGGAGTTGTGTGTATGCAAATTTTAATTTAATGGTTAAACTGTAATATGTAATAATTTACAAAATATTACATTAATAATTATTATTAGTTCAGTAATTAGGGCTCTCGCAGCATCTTTGAAAGCAATTCCATTTCTTGGCAGACAATTATGAAAAATAGTAAATATTCTGTAATATGCAAAATATATGTTCTACAAATTTACTGATGAAGAAATCGTTTACATTTTAGCTTCGATGCAAAGCGAGAAGGTATTGGTTTTACTCTGATGTGTGTTTTTTTTTTATCTGTATACACTGTAACTTTTTTAATACTGGACCAATTCCTTCGAGTAGCAACTCTATAAATCGCAAATTTCATCTAGTTGGTACTTTGGGGGAGTAAAAGTTGAAAAAGTTTAATTCTTCACAGACGAAAGTTGAAAAAACACAAAAAAAACCGTACGAGTTTTTAAGTTAGAACTTTTACTGGCTATAATTTCGAGAAAAAGAGTCGGATCGAGTTGAAATGTATAAGAAATAATTATTTGATATGCCCGCACACGTCAGTTGTGTCAAACTTAAACTATACCCATTTCCCACCCCCCTAGTGGGGTTACAAGTTTTTTTGTTTTTTGGGGTTTTTAGCGGTAATTTTAAAACTTTTGGGTTGAAAATTTGCCAGTAGTTGGAACTCATATGTACCCATAACATATTAAACGGGAAATAAATTCGGCACTACAGTTTTTTTTTAATTGCCGGGAAACTGTGTTTTCGCAGATTTCGTATATTTTAACAAAAACACCTAAAATCTTTAAAAAAAATTGATCAAATCATTAAAACAATTTGATGTATATCTATGCAGAATGATACTATTAGGTTTTGTGCTCAAGTACCACTTTTTACTTAAAGTTTACACAAATTCGATTTTTTTTTTTTTTTTTTAACTAAAAACCCGGTGTACCAGTTGTGAGAAACGAACAGACACTAAAAACTATCAGTTGGTAACGTCTATCTGTGTTAGATTAGGTTAGGGCCCAATGATCGGTATCATAATATTGTGTTTATTACATGATATCACAGGTGACTAAATCGTGTAACTGATTATAGTAGACACTCGATTTATTGGGAAAAAAACCTATCCGTGTACTTATTAAGACACTTAATGATTCTGATACGACAAAACCACTGTCGTTATCTCGTTATTTCATAGCCTGCGTTATATAACCTTACCGTAGGTCAACTATGAGTATATAAGGTCCAATTACCTGCAAATAATGAAGAGGACTGTTGTTTTTCGGATTCAGATTAAGTGTTGGTTTTTATGCAGTATACCGCCTCAAAATGTATTTTTTATTACACAATTTTTTTAAAGGAAAACTAATGTTTTGTATATTGTTATACTGTTATTCATTTAAAGAGATTCACGCTTGATTGTTTAAATTGTCTAATATTAGATAATCTGCTTCGTGCTAATTTTAATTTTTTAGTTTATCAACTTGTAGCTCTAATTTTGTATAAAATATTTCATTATTTTATTACTATGTACAGATTAAGATAAATTTTAATAATAATTAAGTCATAAATGATAATACTTTATTTTATGACTAGATCAAATCTCGTGAACATTTAACATCATGATACTGCTCCTATGATATTATTAAAAAAACACAATTTTTAAAATCTCCATAAAAGGTTATTGTTAAAAAACAGGCAACAGCCGACCGCTAGTGGCTATACACGTTAGTATTATTTAACTAATAAGTAATATATGTAGGTAAAATTTATTGTTTTCTCCATCGCAGTACCAGTATACGATTTATTTTAATTTAAATGTAAGAAAATCGATTTTTCTTTAGAAAATAACTGTATTTACAAATGAGCATCAAAGCGTTTATTTGAAAGCGATTTTATTCAATTTTATCACTTTATTTATAATAATTCTTGTAGACCTGTGACCTCTCCGTTTCCTCATTGCTTTGATTACATTATGCCAATACTCTACTGTACTAGTCCTCTCGGATAAAATCACTTTCAAATTAACGCTTTGATGCTCATTTATAAATACAGAATCTTCATTTAAAACTTTCTAACTTTGCTGGTTTATACTGTGCTTGGTTTGGACTGTACTGGCTTGAAAATACTAACTACCGATTTGCATCGAAGCGTTTTTTCGAAAGTGATTTTATCACTTTCAGATTTAAAAATTCCTGTAAACCTGTGACCTCCCCGTCCCCAATATGCCCCGGCCCAACTATGTTTCGTCCTCACTATGCACCGACCCCACTGTACTGGTTTTTTTACCTCTGTTGGAGCTGCATAAAGCCAATAAATATATGAAAAAAACCCAAAAATTCACCCACTAGACAAATGGCTATAGAACATTGGTCGCACAAAAATGTAATTTAAAAGTGTATGCTCTAAGTTTATTGTATATCTATACTCTTGCCACTGCGGGCCAAAACAATATTTAAGAAATAAATGGTTTTCATACATTTCGCACATATCAATTTACTTTTATAAAGTAAACAAATAAATATTTAAACCCTTAACTATAAAAATAATACAATTTATGTATATAGTACGTATTTTGGCAACAATGTTGTCTTTTTCAGGGCTAACGACGCGACAGTCTCCAATTTGTATAAGCTTCATAGTAATAGTTTTAACGTATATAATTTAGACCTATAAACCTGACATAATTACGTCTACTACGAATGATCAGATTTTAATTCTGTAAAAATATTTGAGCTCATCGACCTTTTTTCCAGTTTATTGTAAAAGTAGATTTGTGAATGACTATTTCATAGTTATATGTAAGTGAATACGAAACATTTGAGAAATCCAAATAGGATTGAAACATAATTTTAAAGGACATATTAAAAATCGATTCACTCAATAACCTAGAAGAGAGGCCGTTAAGCTTAAATAATTTAACAGATTGTAAAAAAGACCGTGAAGGGGTAATTTTGTCGGATTTAGATCTAAAAAAGCTCTACGGTGGCTAAACAGCTAATTTTTGATAAAGCTATTAGAAAATTAGTTTAATTTATCAGAAAAACTTTAAAAAAGTAAAAACATATATGCTTATGGTACAATTTTAAAAACAAAAATACAAAATCGGTCTTTTAATCATCCTCGAGAAAATGTAAGTTTTATAAAAAAAATTATTTAATTGGTTTATTTTGTTGTTATTACCACGTATTGGTAATATTATTGAAAAAAAGGTTCAAGTTTGCATTAATTTATTTAATTTTAGTGCGGAAAGACGATTATTAAGATTTTTAACCGGCAATCTATAAACCTCTAGAAAATAGAATGAAGTAGGCCCGCAGCAAGCGCCCCATAAAAGCCAGTGCGGGGCTGATTATATACTTAATTCAATTCATCTATTGCAATGAAAAAATATAATGTAGAGATTAAAGAAGAAAATCAAGAAAACTTTTAATTTTCTATATATTTTTGCACGAACTGAAAAAATAAAAATGCTTACAAAAATACCTCTTCAAAAAGTATAGGAAATGTGTTAAGTTCCAAGCAAATCGTTTTGTTGGTCTGCTAGTATTGGCGGTGACATTTGTGTATCTTCAGGACCACCATAAGGACAAAAAATGATTACGTTATATTCGTCTTCGTTTTTCGGTGGCGGATCAACATCTATCGGAGGACTTATTATACTACCATAGAACGAATGAACTGAATACACATTACTGAGATCCAACAACCTAGTAGTAAACTTCTCAGAACAAATTAACACTACTTCTATACAATTGTCGTAGCCGTCGATTTCTTTTTTGCCTCGGTCGCTAAGCCTATTACAAAGTTCTTGTGATATGTCGTCCATTACGGCTTTTTTTGTGGCATAAGGTCTTCGTTTCAGCATATGGCAAGCCCAATTCGTTATAACGTTATTCATATGAAAGTGTACCATTTTGGAACCTAAAAATAAAAAGTTTCATGAAAAGTTGATAATACGCTATATATTAAATAATTGCAACACAAATTAATCATATTATGTAAAATAGTACATAAAAATGTATAAACTATATATTATGTACTAATATTGCGAACTTCACAAAATCATATTTTTAGCTTCAATCACTATGAAAACAACTTACAAAAATTACATAACTTTGCAGCTTAAAAATACTTTGCTTAATTGTACACCATTTTAGAAGATGTTAGATAAACTAATTTTTGTTACTAATAATCTTATCTCAGACAAGGGGACTGACTATAGTTTGAACTTTCTTTTCACTCTTCTTAATTTCTACCCACTTAATCATTTTCCTTAGTTTTATCCTGGTTTAGTTCATACCGCAAGAGTTTCGTATTCTCTAATAAATAATATGTAATCATTTTAACTACACAATTATTTAGTTTAATTTATGTTATGAGAATACTAAAAAGGTACAAGTACACAACTGTATGCATGGCCTTATATTATGTAAATGTGTTTTTCCAATTACTTACCAAGAAACGTGGTGTCATATCTAAGAACAGGGTGTACCAAAATGCATCTGTAAAATACTTCCATTGCATCGTAAAAAAAGTTGTCTGTGTACTGTAATAAAAATACATTATTTAGGCGATTAACGTTCATACTATGCTTTTGAAAATATAATAAAAAATAAATTAATAAATTATCAACTAGAGCTGAACATTTTAAAGTAAAAGGGAAAACATTAGCTGTAAAAATACCAAACAATTATATCAAAATAAGAGAAACCATAAGTGGATGTATCACTAGACTATTAAGATTTAAGACGAATACAATTTAACTTCGAAAACTATCTTAAATACTTCCTATTATGCATAGTATTCCTATTAGGAATAATAAAATGTATTTTTTTAACTATGGTGTATCCGAAGACACAATAACTTTTTTCCTGTGGACTGATTTACTCGAGTAGTATCATTATTTATCAGTGTTTGTATGCTCTAAATGAACTGGTTAAAAATTCAAAAAACCCACTTCTTTTTTATTTATGATGGTATTTTTAAAGATAACCAATATATTTTTAGAATTGTATTATATTACCGCGAAAACTTCAGTATCCCAATAGTATTCCGTCGGCAGTTTCTATAATACAATCACAGTTACAAAATCATTTGATTGCGTTAATAGTTTACTTAAATGGACATAATATAAATTATACTTTTTATTTTACATTTACACATTAATGATCTTAAAGACGAATGAAACAATCCATATGTGATTTGAACTCAAAATATTCTTGCTTAGTTTTATAACGTTTCGATAAAGTTTATGTTTTAATTACTTATTGTTACACTAGACCATAATACTTATTTAGCCAACTTACTTGATACATCGGATTAACATTCACAGTTTCACTGTCTTCCTCGTTGTTTGACAGTGGACTTTGTTCTCCCGACAATATCAAATTTAAATTATCCTAAACATTAAATTACTTTAATTAAAAGTCGATTTTGAAAAATAATTGATATTTAAAAGCACGACTTTGTAAAATCAGCCAATGCAAGTTTAACAAATTATAAACCCAAAATTGTATTTACTTGATTGTTTATTAAGTTTTCTTGAATTATTTCTGCTGGTCTAGGTAATTCAGGAATATGCAATATATCCTGAAAAAAAACGTTGTTAAACTTTAATCAATAAATCTTGAAATTATGTTTACTTGATTGTTCATTCGGTTGTCCTGGGTTATTTCAATTGATTTATGTGAATCAGAAACTTGCGATGGATCCTGAACATACATTAATGTGTTGTATAGTACACATTTATTTCACTTGTGAGTAGTCCAATGATAATTAAAAAAAGGTAATTCATGTAACAACAATAAACCTGAATGCCTTGTTAGGCATTAACACTTTTTGTTAATTTGTGTATGGCTAACTCATGAAAATTCTATGTACATTTTGGCTACAAAAGAGTGTCCCTGGAGTGATCTTAAGTGATGACTGATGACTTATAAGTAAATAATTTTAAAATGTTTGTAATTTTTTTTTATTGTAACAGAACATAAAATAACATGTACTAAAGACTTATTTAGGAAGAATATTGACCTGTTTTACATGAAAATAACTGTAAACTAAACAAATGTATCATTTAATTATAGATATTATTTTTAGTATATTTAAAAGACTACTTACATTAATTATTTGACTTGGTTCAAAGTCCTTATTTTCACGACTTTCCTCGTCGTTTGGTAGTTGAATTTCAAATCTTGCCGAATGAAATTCTTCGTCGTCCTATATTTTAAAAATGAAAAAATAATGATTTTGGATTTAGACATTTGCTTAAAAGTTCATAACAGCTGGACGGGGTTTATTTTAATGATATTCTTTAATGCTTTTGTATTCACCTAAATGACTTCTGGGGGTAAACATATAGGATACATAAGTAGAATAACGGGTTTTTCGTTTACCTCTATGCCAGTTATTTCAGAGCTATATCTAAAACTTTCCAGAGGAGTTGAAAATAAGTCTTCTTCGTTTTGTATCATTGGGTTATAAGCTCCCGGAATACTAGGTGCTAATGTTGGTATGTTTGCATCTTCCTGATCAATTCCGTTTTTCTTAAGCGATACAGGCGTTTTTTGTGTGTCGGTGAACTAAATAAATGGACCATGAAAAAATATATAACTTGTGTTAAATAAGTGTTCATATCATAACAATGCGTGAAGTTATTGTAGAGATCATCTACCATTAATTATTGTTATTTGTCATTATATTACTATTGCCAGTGTATTACATTATGTAGATGCTGTTTAAGTCGATTCATATCTGACAAACTATCAAACCGTCCAAGAAAATGAATTTACTTATAAAATTATCTTAGAATGAGAAAGCGTTGGATACTGGATATAAACAAAATAGATTAAAAGTAGGTTGATTTTATCAAAAAATTAATAAGAGAAACAGAAAAAATTACTGTGATATAAATAATAGTACTAAGTACATACAATAGGGTGTTAACAAACTCTTCCTTATCTCCTTTTTTCACATTTAGTGGAACATTCGCACTTACCACATCCATTACTTATTTTTCTTCAAATAATTTCATTATTTTTATTCTTTTACATTTTAATAGTACCTACGTGTCTACTACTTTACATATATAAATTAATAAATCCACTTCTATAGATCATATGAATATATATTTTATACCATATTATAATGAATGAACTTACTTTGTTTTTAGTGTTAAACATTCTCCTTACTTTTGGCCATTTTGAAGAAATACTACCAAAGCTTTTCTGAAATTAATTACAATTAATATTATAAATGCATTTTTTCAATTTTATGACCAAAATTTAAAGATTAAAAATATGCACACAGGGTCTAGCCTAGTTTAATTGATTAGTATTTTTTTAGCTACGATGCGGAGCTGAGAAGGTTTTGTTTTTACAATGATGTGTTTTTATATACTTAATTTTTTTTGTTTTTGTGTCTGGACCCACGATATCTTTTAAACCACTGAACCGATTTTTTCGTGTAACAACTCTATAGATCAGATATTGTAACTGTAAATAAAGGCACATTATTGGGCAAAACAAATTCACCCTTTCCCCTTCAAATCGAAAAAAAACATCCAAAAATGTTATTTATTTTTTAACTAAAAATTACGATGCCCCATAATTTTTTTAAAAATAGTCTAATTAATTCCAAATATGTATGGAGTATTTTTTAAACATAGTACTACCGATAAACCAAACAAATAAAATAAAGCCTTTCACTAGAAGGGATAGACAGTTTTTCTTTATTTCACTTTTTCTAGCAAAGTTTTAAGGATTGAGTATTAGATCTAGAATGGAGGAACTCATCATACAACTTTCTCAAAAATCTGTAATTAAATTTTTTTTTATTAATAAAAAAACCCTCAAAAAAGGGTAAAATTACGCTTTAACATATACAAATTAATTTTAAGCACTTAATTCTCATAAGGTACTTATTTACTCTACTACTACTAAAAACGTTTATTTAAAAGTGATTTTATCACTTTCAGTTATAATAATTCCTGTAGACTTGTGTCCGACCCCACTATACTGGCTTTTTTTAAAAATAATTATTTTGTCAACAATTTACCAGTATAAGTTTTTTTGCCTTATTTAAGACCAAAAAGGTTTGTAAATGGTTGAGAAAGGTTTGTAAAAGCTCAAAAATTTAGTGGGCTAAACATTTTTACGTCTAAATACAAATTTTAGGCTTATTAACTGCTAAAAATGACCTCGTAAGCGACCAAAACAATGATGATCACTGTAAATTACAGAGTATAGTAAACAAACACCTGATGGATGTGAAACCAGACCAGAATATAAATATGCACTTGGCTTAAACAAGAGGAGAAAGGAGTAGATTGGTTTTGGAAGTACAGATTTTTAACGGCTTCTAAATCTTTAAAAAAAATTATCAATATTAAAACAGTTTGAATTTTCCAACTTAATTTTGCACAAAAAAAGCGCTTAGTAATATTAAGCGATTCGTCGTAGGTATTTGTGTATTAGGGCGTTCGTTTTATTGGGGCTGGTGAAATTTTAAGATATATATATAATATAAAAACCTATAAAAAAGAATTTAAAAAAGAATTCCTGTATTTATTCAGATTTTTATGTATTAATTTTTCCATTTAAAGTATATGGAGTTTTTGGTAAATGTTAGTTTTATTACCTCGCATAGCTTATGGCTTAAAAACAAAACTGAGACTATGCGAATCCCTTTCAAATAAGTAGATACTTGAAGGTTAGGTTAGGTCTGGTTAAATCTGGACAAATTCCAGAGTTATTTTTTAATTATTTTTAACAGGTTTTTTCTATGTAGAACTTAAAGGTTCACTAGACTCAAAGTAATGAACGCACTAATATGCATAACACCTAAACAAATAGTATAAATACAAATGTATATTATAGAATTTGTGACAAAGATGAGTCATGGTAGTTACACAAAGTCATTAATAAGTAGTACGGATAAATGTTTTTATTTATTTATTTAAAGAATAACGTCAAAAAGGCAGAGTATCGTGAGAAAAAAAAAACATTGAACGATTAATTATTAGTGTCACAACAACAGAATAACAATAACCGAATTTTTATTATTATAATAACATGGCAATATTAATCTTTACTTGGTTTCTTAATCAGAGGTTAATAATCTAAAACTAAAAACTCCAGCGATGTGTTGATGTATAGAAAAAAGGTGTAGAAGAAAGGGTAAACATAGAAACATTAAATTGTTTTAACTTAAATATTAATACATAGTGTGTTTAATAAAGAATACACTCAATATGTGTAAGTCATATTTAAAATGTATATATTTTGTTCGTATTGCTCTTGATTTTAGAATATTATAATTTGGAAAAAAAAATGTTGTTCTCTGTATCACATAAGCATGTAAAAGCAGTGATTTTATTGTAAAAAAGCTTAACATTTTTGATAATTTTAAATTATTTTAGAACTACTTAAAATTATATACAAATATAGCCAATGCGAAAAAGATTAATTAGTATATTTATAAGTCTTACACGTGATTTAAGTTTCTTAACACGATGTTCCTCATCCAAAGTTTGTGGTTGGAAACAACTGAAAGTCGCACTTAAGGCAAAAAAAGTAACGAACACGCATAACGAAATAGTAATATAAAAAGAGGCTACCATTTTCAATGTTTGTTTCACCTGTAGTAATGGTTAAGCTGTACTGTGTATCGACAAAACGTACACAAGGAAACTACAGACGAAATTCAAAAGCAAATACTTGTAATAATTTGTAATATATATATATATATATATATATTGTTTTTATCTGGTGACCTACCTATCATCGCAAATATTATTATGTTTTTTTTACACTTTATGACGTTTTACTAGTAACACATAAAATAATATGTATAATATATTTATTGTATTTATTAAAATTAAAAACAGTATTTTACCATCCTTTAAATCCTACACAGGATTAGTTTAGGGATGTTTTCTGGTAACCTTATTCAGTATCAGTTTATAAGAATATCTAATAAAATCCGTTACTAACCTAGTTAAAATAAGGTATGGTGTACCCTGACCAGAGACCACACTTGGGGACAATGTAAGCTCTAAAGTAGTTCACGGTTGAATAAATATACACAATATTAAATTGACAAAGGATACAATAAACTGTTATACGTATATAACAGTTTTAAAATATAAGTCAGAACACGTTTGAAATATCAGATTATGTACTTGAAGCAGTTCGTTTTGTGACGTGCACAAGTCGCATGCCATTATTCACATATTAAGTATTATATATTATAATTTAGCAATGTGTTTTATAATGTAAATTAATGGTTTAAAATAATTTTATGATTACATTTTTTTAAATTCTTATTCGAATATAATATAATGGTTTTAATAGTTATAAATAGGTATGAATAATGTAGAATATATTATATTCCTGAGTACAATTTTTAAAGCGTTTGTTCGTTCGACATTAAAAACGTAGATTATGTTTATGGTAAAACATTACTGAAGAAATACTAATGTAAAGTGTAATTAGACATATAAATATCGTAAATAACTTAATCCTAAAGTAACAACATACCTAATACATTAAATTTCGAATAAAATTATGAAAAATCTAAACTTTTATACCTTTTATATCTTGTTCTCGGGTCTAAAATACTAATGTAAATTTTTAAAAGAAAACTAGCTAGACGAGCTAAACATGTAAAATATAAATACGCTAAAAAAAATTGGCACTGCTAATGTAAAAGTTGAAGAATTATTAAGAAATTTATATTAAGAAAGTTATGAAGAAATTATTAAAAATTTAAGTTATAAAGCTCATTTTGGCAAAGGTTACACATAGCTGAATTGCCTCTTTTAGACCCAAGGTACAACAGATACATAATATATATGGTAATTGGTCATAAATTAATATTGATAGCTAAAACAATTAATTTTAGTTATCACATATTTTATGGTTCATTGTTAAATATTATCGTTTTTTAACGCATCTACTTTAAATGGTATACAAATCGTTTTATTTTGCATATTGCAATACAGAGCACAATATCGTATTAGGTACAAAAATGAACAGGTCATTAGACTTATAAGTAATTTGTGTAATATTATTAATTATTGACAGAAGTATTGTTCTAATGAAATCAGAATCTGATATTTATTTTATGTGTTGTAAGTAAAACTATATTATTTTACTGTCGACAAAAGAATATTTGTTAAGAATATTAACATTTTTTAAATATGTTTTTATTTTGCTATTCTTATTCATATTGATACAAAGAAACCCTAGTAAATATATGATAATATGCATTTAAAATGTTTTAACATTTTGTATCAATATTAAAACATTTTTATGCCTTTTACATTTTTTTGACATCCCTGAAATCTTTAAGTATTTAGTTATGATTTAAATTTAAAATTATTGTTAAAAATAAAAATGCATTTCTTCAGTCAAATATGTATAAATATTACTAATTGGTTGGGTAAAAAATATTTGTGTGTGATTTTTTAAAATGAATTTCACATAGTACCCATATATTGACAAATAGTCTGAGCGAAATCATTATTAATATTACTTTGTAAAATGTTGTATACAATACATATATATATATACAAAATTATTTTTTCGGGAAGTTATTAGTCATATAAGAAGTAGTTAAAAATTAAATTGATAGTGAAGTATTATGAAAATGTGTGTTACAAGAATAACAATAAAATGTCGATTGACTAAAATGATTATAAATTACATTTGTTAAGCACTTAAACTAGAAAAAATAGTTGAAATGTTGATTGCGCATATTTTTTAATAAACATCTTGTGACGTATTATTAATGTATACAAATTAATCGTGTAATGATTATTTTTTTAAAACGACATAGGTATTATGTATATTAGTAACATCTTTAATATAATATAATATTTTATAAATACACATAAATTCTAAGAGTTGTGAATTGTCACCATCACAAAATACAAATTATCACTTAAGTTTGAGAAACAATAACTATAAGGTATTCTAAACCTTACATTATATACTAGAGGCAATACATACACTAGCGATACATATGAATTTTTAAGTACTAATCTCTCACTAATAAAGATGGCTATTAACAAAGAAAAAACAAAATATTCTTATAAGTAAATAGTAATAACAAAAAAACAATACAAAATGATAACGAATAAAACAAAATATTTGATCATAAAATATAGTAATAAAATATTATATTATATAACGTTGAGAGAATATGTTCAGTGTAACAAACAAATAATGGTTAGGGCAAATGCCATTAGGGTAAATGTTATAATAGTCATGGCACGCTCTGCTGAGGGCATTTTATGTAAATGTGCAATTAAACGAATAAAACAACAACCGTACCTAATATGTTGTTAGTAATTAAATTATTCATTAAAATATACGAAGTCACATAAATTAAATGAGCGCAGGACGTCCATATTATATCTTTTGTCGACAAAATTAGTTACAAAAAAAAAATACTACCATGATTCTATTGAATTATAGCAGCTGTGTAATACATACCTACACCGGCTATCGAAATGCCCAACGTCCGCATTATTCATAGTTACTTTTAGAATATAATTTCATACTTTGTACAAACGTTAACAACAGCTATATCATGTATAATATAATGCATAATATGATAAGAAATTGATTTTTAAGAAAAATTGAGCGCCAAGTGCCATTATGATGTACGGTTAAATAATTTATTCGAAAAAAATATTCAATCAAAAGCTTTACACGCACACACAAGAAGAACATAATGTAAAGTAATGGATTTAGCGTTTACCATATTATAATGAACAACGAGTAAGCGAGACAGACTACAACAACTGAACAGCCACACTTATTTGATCATAGAAAAGATAAGGACTTAATCAAATATTTTTAGTTTGAGAGTTTTCAAAATTGCCGCGATGGCAGCTGATGTCTAAGTTAAATAATTATGTTACTCAAAAAGAATAGCGAAACGATGCATTAAACAAGGCAATATTGTACAATATTATATTGTTAACCTAACATTTCGGATTCATAAAAAAACTATAGTAATACAATGAAACATAGAGTAAAATAGTGATAGGCGTTTTGAATCGTAATGGAATTAATTCAGAAAAACAGCAGTGATTGACAATGAAAGTTCACAGTGGAAATGTTAAAATGGAAAGAAATTATAACGTGAACGAAATAATAATAAATAAAATATAAAAGCCACAGTTGATAAATGTGCAAAAAAGTGGGATAAGTAAATAATTGTAATTTGTATAATATTATTGTGAAGTATAAAATATGACTTCGAGTGATAGCATTAAAGCGCGTTTAATTGTTCTCTAATCGTTAAAGGTAAAACATACACATATTCTGATTATTTATCGTCAAAAAATTACTTATCTATTTTAATCTTATTAGACAAGTGTATTACGTCGTGACTGATAAAAACTACACTAGTAAATAAGGAAATTCCTACGGAGATAAAATATCGTGTTAGCACTGTAAATGTATCAATGTACGTGTAACTCTTCATAAAACAATTTTTAATATTGTGCTAAAAAACTTAGGAACTATTTTATGGGTAGGTACTATATTATTGTGCTGCTATCTTAACGTCTGTGTACTGTGTACAATGAAAATGAAACCTATTATCTGAATTATCAATTATTGACTACACATAATAATATTACCGCTATAACCAAAAAAACAGTCATAGTCTGTCGCTCAAACTCACAACAAACACTTTGGGATTTGTATAACTTAACTTTTGTTATAATAACGTAATTTTATAATAATATCATCAATGAACACAAACTATAATAATAAAGCATTGTTTTCGAATTCAAATGTCGATTGTTGCTTTGTCCAGCTATTCGTCCAAGCCCTGTGCGTCGTTTTCTGGCTTAATGTTGTGCAGCCAATTGAATATGAACACGTTCCTGTCAAATCGCGAAAACGGTTTTGGCTGATAACGTTTGATGGTATCAGCACAAGCCACTATGTCGCCCTCGTACAGCTTCTTGCCGGATTGTGGAACGCAAAGGTATTTACTTGAACCGCCAGCCGGGGTCTGCTCGTTGCGCTCTGCCATTGGTGTTGGCGTCATCCTGTGCAAGTTGAATTCGCTGTGCGAAAGACGTTCCAACGCCTTGTAAGTGATGACAAGACGGCGTTGGATGTAGCTTTGCCGAACCTGAAACCGACAAACAGTGTCAGACAAACAAGCCCCGTACACACAATAATGTACACTATATTATATCATCTAAAAAGTTCTTTAAGACAGTTTAATCCAGCACTTCTCCACTTGTTCTACCATTCAAGTCATCAATCTTTACACTTGAACAATCTAATATTTTGGGGGAATTTTTATGGTGCCCGGTAATTGGACAAATTAACTGTAACCTCGTCATCCTCATCCTTTCATCGTCCTCCATATTTAAAAATCCCTTACTATGTTATCTAAGATAAGTGGTCTTCTCTTTTACTTCATTTTGCCAATTGATATCGTCAGATGTCTACTTCCATTCCTCAGCACCCTTGATTTTGGAATCTTAATCTCCCTATAAGAATGATTGTTTCATTTTTTTTAAAGCCTGAACGAAGTTAGAAGAATTTGAACTTCCCCAGCCTTCCTTCTAGGTATGCCAAGTTCACAACCCTTACATTTCTCAACTTATTCGTCAATCGTATGCACCCTGCACGAATATGAGATACTTTGCGATTATAATCGTATTATATTTGAATTTACATCCCTTTTAAATAATATAATTACTCTTTTCACCTCTGTTCCCTTTCATGGTATTACTTCTTCCTCTCCTACCGTCCTACTCAAATCAAAAACGTCTACACTAATAATCTCCGTTGTAAACTTTAGTATTTCTACTGGCTATCTATTAATTCAATTATTTAAAACACGATATCTATATTCATTTTTATTCGTCTTTACAAGTCTTACATTGTTCAGTTTCATGTTTTTTTAGATATCAGTTTTAATGTTTACACTTCAGTTATAATAATAAAATTATTTTATCATAATATAAATTGTTGAGCAGTAGTATTTTACAACAAAAGCCATAAAAGAAAAAAAAAGAACAGTACATGATACGAATCATAATATTGAACTTGAACCATTCGAATCAACTTTAACAGCTTTGAGTCATGTGCATTTATTATACGACTGAGTAGCGGTTTGGCTTAAGCGTCCAACTGATCATGTAAAAAATGTCTTAACGTAGCTATTAGTTCAATAGACAAAACCCTAACAGCATGAATTAAATGGGCACCCGAATGTCCCAGTGGTCACCATTTTAGGTAGGTTCCAAACTTGGATGGTCAAAATAGCTCAAAGATCGCCTTAGAATTTCCCAGACAGTCTCTGTCTCGGGAAGTATTTGTATGCTGTCAGTAATCAACAATGCTGACTTTGGCTGGTATTTATCGATGTGATGATAGTTTTGGTTTACCTTTTTATTGACCGATCTGACGAAGTCGTTAGCGCTCAACGTGGACATGGGCGGACAATTGTTCTGAACCGATCCTGAAAAACGATTGGGAGAAGGCAATTGAGACATAGAAGCCATGTCGCCGACCACCACACAAGTTGACAATGACCGTGAAGTGTTGCCAAGCATACGACCACCTGTCGTTGTCATCATCAGTACGTCTGAACCGATACGACCTTTGTTTATTGCCAGCTCAGACGCACAGCGAGCCAACTTGATGTCGTCCAGGTCGTCCGTATTGGGCCAGTAGTCGGCGCTAAGTTTCTCAACATCCGTTATGTCGCTGCTGCTAAAACTCCTCGGAAGTCCCAATGCTGACTGCAAAGCACCGCAACTCTTGATAACGTCCATCTCGTCTTCAAACCAAGCAGCATCGCTAAAGTCTCGTGACAATCTGAAACCGACGGTAAAACGGATATTAATATGCCGGAAGTCCGATGAATTTAATTATCCTCCGGGACAGAAACGGGATCCGACCAAAAAAGCCATAATGTACATAAAATATAAACAAAATACTATTGGGTTTCCCTTTCCCTGGCGGTCTTCCTAGTATTTGTATTTTTAAAACGCAATCAATTTCATACATTTAAATAGTAACCTAAACAATGTTTACCTAAACTCAAATTTAATTACTTCTTAATATTATTATTACTTAGTTAAATAGTCATTAGATATTAAAAATGTTTGGGCAATAACCAGATATGAACAATAATTTCTTTTGAATTTTTTTTATCATACAATTTGCCGAATAATGTTACTTTCCACTATTCATAAATAAACAGTGTAATTAAAAAAAAATTAATTTACCCATCAAATGCTATCATCTTAGGTTGTTATTAATTATTATATTAGAAAGCCTTCGGCTATTTGTTAAATAACCTAGATAAGACATTTTATTTGTAAGATTTGATGTCAAAAGTGGTAGAAAAGACCTATAAATAATTATGATAATTTAGGACCTCGCAATCCGATTCAGCCTAAGGCCGCAATTTGTAGCACGAGCCAGGGTAGTCCCTTCACCCTCAGGAAAATTACTAAAAAATATACATTTTTGTAATTAATATAACCCTTTACAATTCTAAAAACGGTTTTATCGTATGCTATTCTTACCTAATTGATCAATTATTTTTTTCTATTTTATGTTGCTGATATTACTTTCAAAATTATTTTTTCAATATTTTAGCCGTAAGAGTAGTTTCAAGTTGTGTTATTCATATCGAGGTCCATTACCGCAGAAAACGATTTATTATTATTTATTAGTCACTCGTTCATTCCTGGTTAGAATATTGTATTCTAATTTGGGCGAACAATATCGTTGACCAGGGTTCAATGCTAAATGGAGTACAGAACAATTCCTTACTATCGTATAGTTTTGACTAGCTATCATAGTTTAGGCTTTAGGCTGTGCGTTGATTATGAATTAGTCAGTCTTCTTCACAATCAATCACAGTCTGAAATCTATACGGTACAACTCAAACCAAGTACAATATAAATCAATACAGCAAGAACTTGACGAAGGTGAATCAAAGCAATTATTAAAGCGTTTGATGATATCATCACATCAAACGCTTTAAAGCAAATTCGCGAATAGTAGAAATCCAGCACTTTATAAACCAGTACTGTTCCAATCAAGCACAATAAAAAAATATCTAAATGGGGCCAGTATTCTCAGATTCACAAGGAAGCGTAATTTGGATGTGATACATATGATTTTATGTGTTATAACAATTTCTCAAGACCTGTGACCGGTGGGATCCCATGGTATACATTTTGTTATACACTACGTGAAAACCATAAACATTTCACAATAAAAAATAAACATCCAAAACTATTTTTATATCTTTTAAATATGAAATATATTAATATTATAAGAAACAATAATTATGTAAAACAGCTTTCTGTAAAAATAAGCTTATGGTAAAAAATGCTAATGGTTTTGAAAAGAAACACAAATATTTTAGAATCTCTTTAAAGATTATAATAAAATTATGTTTTTCCAGAAAGCACTTTTGTCGAAAGTGGTTTTGCAGTTAATATAAAAAAAAACAAAAACTTATTAAACGTTATCCCAATGGATGAAATTGAATCATGTCATGTTTTTAACGGTTGTCTTCATTGGATTTGAGTTGCAGGCGTTTTTAATATATAGTACTTATTCAAAGAAAGAGACAAATTGAAAATAGAACCAGTGAACCATTGATATTAAAAAAAAAAAAACAATATAAAATCTAAGATACAGTTTTATAGAAAAATTCATTCTATAATAAGTTAGTGAGGTTAAATAACTATGCAAAATAAATAACCCGCAGATCATTTATTAAAAAACAGATGAAAAGCTATACACATAAAACAAACAAACGTGCGATTTTTATATTTTTATTGAATCTAGTTTTAGAAAATAATAAACGGAAGAAAAGGTTATTCGGAGTACGCCAAATCAATAATATCCTTAACCGAATTCCTATAACTCCATCACAACGGGAAGAATGTTGTTAACATTTTTTTATTTTGTAGCCAACACATATTGTTTAAGAGCAGAAATTTAAAGTGAAGTAGGTTTGCATATGTTACAAAATTGAAAATTATTTGATGCAAAAATGAAAAACGTAAATATCACTTAAATTCTGGGTTGAAGGTAATTTTTAGTATAGAAAACCAATTATAAATAACTAAAACAAAAAATTTGATAATATAGTTTTTACTATTTAAAACTTTTTAACGTAAATTATACGACTTCTGATTTGAAAATTAAACATGTACCGAATAAGGTGTGTCTTATTCAAACTAAAAATAAAAGCTTTAGACAATTTTCATGGACTAGGTTTTTATAATGAAAATCCTTATGACAACGGTAAAAAACTTACTATACATCACATTTTCTCAGCAATATAGTTAATTTTTTGTTTAAAAGCGTTACACTTGATAAAAAAACAATTCAGAAAGATTTTAAATTCAAATGTCATCTTAATAAATATCTAGTTCACCTTTAGTATACTCGGTTTGTAATGTGTTTTTTTTCTTGTAATTTTTATTCCATATAGTACAATGTTGTGTATAATATAATATGCAATAAATATTTCTATAAATAATTCCACACCAAACAATGTTTAAAGAAAAACGAACTTTGGTATTTTATATACTATGAAGTCAACAAATGTATAGACATAAATAGTATAGTTTTTGAAATATGATAGGCTTAGTATTATGTTTGGTAAAAACAGATTTTCGGGAAATATGTATTGGAAAAAAATAGAACTACAAAAATATATATTAGTGAATTAGCTTTTTTCAAAATTTTTTTCAATAAGTTGTTCGAAAGAGTAAAGAAAAATTAAAAACAATGTTCGAGACAGATAGGCAACATAAAATACACAAACCCGCGAAACTTTTGGAATATAATATTATTATGAGCTCGACAGGAGCACAAACTAGATAATTTTAGAAACACTTATGATAGTGTACAAGCGACGTGACTGCGCCTTTAGAAAGTCAATAAGACAGTAATACAGTACACACAGTCTAGCATACATCAGTGTGCATACATAATATTTCAATGTTGACAGTGTCTCAATTAACAAGTGTAAATAACTAATTAATGTAATACATTTTTGGTTAACCCTTTTGACAGTCAAATCAGAAACACCGTTATCGTCGTCGTAGCCTTAGAGAATGTTTGGAGATACAATGTAGCCAACATTCACGTATAATGGGGTTCCTGACTTGAAAGGCTACCCAGAAGTTTAAAGGTACAGCACAATACAATTGCCCGTATTATGATTAGTGTAGCGATCACGTGCCTGTGAGCAAACCTACAAAAATTGTTTTAGTATTTTAAACAAGAAAGCCTTTTGTTTGATGGCCAAAGACAGGGCAAGTTGCGTAAGCAATTTAAATGATTGAGGAAAATGTTTGCAGTTTTTTTTCTTTTTCTTTTCGATTTGACATTTTTGTCAATGTCATAATATATTTACCTTTGTTTTTTTATATACTAATTTTCAGATCTCTATCGACTTTAAAAACTTATACGGCAATGTATAGCTGTTTATTTAATTCACTTTTTTAATTCATAACAATGCGCGTTGGCTGATCGAATACCAATTTTGAGTAATTATTACTTGGCGAAACAACCCTGTATATATATATGTAACGTTACACGCTGTTTTTGGTTTATTCAAAAACAACTCCACTCGAATCCACTCGTGTCGTTTAGACTGGCACGTGATTAATAATGATACATAATGGGAATGGCATTTGTCGTGCCGAATTGATTTATTTTTAGGGAATAGTTGGTTTATATTTAATGTGTTTCTCGTACGCATTCGAGCCAATAATTACATACAATCCGAGTCGGTATGACGTGTGTACGTCGTCGTACAGACATTTAGTCGACTGGAAGCCCTACAAAGGCGCGGCGGTTACTTATTATGCAAGTGCCCAAGATGACAAAACAGTACATTATTGTACAGCATTCGAAACGAGAACGACTTATGTACATGGCGCACACCGCGTAAACATGTTGGCTGTATAATAAAATATAAAAAGTAAGAAGAAAAAAAAAATTCCCAGAAAAAGATGTAATAAAATGAAAATATTCGAGTTGTAGAAGGTAAAAATATAATATAAAATGCCAACATATATAAGTGTAATAATATTCCGGTCCGATACATTTTTCCCTACATTTCCATTTTTAATATTCTTTTGCTTTTTTATATTACTCCGTGTAACAAAAAAAAAAAAAATGTCGCCTTATATTGCCTTTTCTATGAAATTTGTATTACAAAATACTTATATTTTTTGAGACAGCACTTTAGTAATGGAAACCCGTCTTAAGTGAAATCCATTTTACATCTCCATTATTCGCAGGAAGTCAGCATTATTGCGTTGATCAAAACGTACAAAGAAAAGGGCGACGCTTAAGTTTAATAAGCCATTTAAAGTACTCGGTAAACTTTATTGCATTACGTTTGGAACTGAACAAAATATATCGTTTTAATTGTATTTTAGCTTCGATGCGAGCCGAGTCTTCTTTTTCAAGTATTAAATCAACGAAAATGCGCCGAACGACAAAATGATATTATTTTCTTAGTATCACAACACAAACGGAATTAAATAACAATTAAATACTTTCCAGTGTAAATATACTGATTTATTAGTATCGGATTTTCGGTCGAAAAGCTTTATTACTGTTTCTCATCGTTAAATCGAATTATTAGAGTTAGACCAAAGTTCAACTCTCTTTTTGCTGGTGAATTTTTTCGATAATGCACTACATGTAAACCATTACATTTCAAGACTTAAGTCATAACCAATATCATTGAGTGTATATTGTACCCAATGCCAATATAATATGATAGGCTATTTGCGGTGTATCGATGTAATCACTTGGCAACGGAG